ACACACACACACACACACACACACACACACACACACACACACACACAAAATTCCTTCTTTTTGTTACTGTACCTCCACTGCAGCTCAACAGGGAAACACAAAGACGGATTTTTATACAAACTGTTACTTGAGAAGATATCCTCGTGATTTGACTAATTCTGCTGAAGCCTCATATGAGCATCAGGTACATCACTATACTGGAGTTGCATGAGGAAGAGATCTTTTAATGGCCATCAGTAACAGTAACAGTGATGAATACAGCAAGAAAACCGGGTTTCAATGTTCATATTTAAAGACAGACTTGATGAACTGTGCTTATCCTTTAAAGTCCCTCTGAAACATCACTCTGAAACATCACAGTGCCTTTGGAGTGAATTTACAGAGGTTTGCTGGGCCTCACCTTGCGGAGGTTGCTTTTCTTTGAAGATGACACACTTTCGTCTTCACTGTACGGTGGTGGTACAGGAGGTGGGTAGTCATCACGGCGACCGGGGTTTCCGGAGGGCGGGACATGAGGAAGTGGTGGGGGCCCACGTGGAGCCCTCCCCCAATCCGAGCGGTCGCTCTCGCTGTCCAGGTGCTCCCGGCTGCGTGCCCTCTGCTGCTGGCCCATCCTCTTCCTCTCCATGGCTTCTCGCAGGATGCTGTCGTCATAATCATCTCGCCGGCCCCTGGTGTCGCCGCCATGCTGGCGATCCCTCTCCAGGTCCATCAGGTCGTCGCGGCTGCGGCTGCGTCTCCCCGGCATGCCCCCGTAGCCCCCTCCATCTCCTCTCCGGCGGTCATCGGGGGAGGGCTCACGGCGCCTGCGGTCATCGCGGCTGTTGCCGCTGCGGGCGCTACTGCTCCACCCGTCATCAGAGCTAAGGAGACAGGAAGCAGCACACATTGAAGGGGGAATAGAAACATTACGAGGCTGTTGTTCTGTCATTGCATTCGCTGCTGAGTAGAGTTTACACAAGTTTACATTTGAGCTTAAACCTCGCTGTTGTGTCCTCCGTTCCAGTTTAAACCATGGCTGAAGTTTAGCTTTAAACCAGTCGCTTTTATCTTGTAGAAGTCAACTAACTAGACTGCATCTGAGGTTTCAGCTGCACTGTCAAATGTCTGCAGGCCGCTTAATGCAGTGTAACTCTATACAGGGCGACACGTGTATTTTCAGAGCATTTTGATATCTGTAAGTTTTCAAGAAACACAATCGAGAAATGACTTTGACAATCACCAGATCCTCTAAATATAAAGTGTCAAAAAAAAAAGAAGAGAAGTTGCGGTAAAACGATTGTGAATCTTTTCTTTACCACATGCTGCCTTTTCTTTTGCAAGTCATATGTCATATTTGAATAAAAATGAGGTGATGGTGGTAATATGGAGAACTCCTGAAAGTACCTGAAACCTACTCCATGTGACAGAGCTGCGTGATACTACCAATATCAAAGTGAATGACGAGGGTCCTTTCATCTCACTCTGCTGGGACAGTTAAATACGTTTGGTAATCATCACAGAAAAACAAAACCAAGGAGGAAGGAAATTAAATCACAGGTCGTGAGGGACTAAACTTGGTATTAGCATGACACTGATGACTCAGCTTTAGAGAGAACATTTGTCTTCTCATAAGAAATAATAAAGGAAGAGAGGAAGAGAAAGTCACATTGTGACTTCTGGAAAGCCCCACACCCCGTACACAGACTCAACTAGAAAGACACCGCTCTGCTGCTCTGTGGAACAGATGAGATGAGACTGAGAACTGGAATTTTCTGTGCCATAGATGCTCAATATAAACCTCGAAATGAATACACACATACTATCAATATACTTGCATAGTAATATAAAACCCACATATGAGTCACATAGAATGCAATATAAGAAGTGTGAGGTATTGTTTTCATGTTGATAATAACAAACAATATCATGATAACATCGATGTGATTATTTTTTACAGTGTTGGGACTGTATATGTACTGAGAGAGCGGGACATCTTAATCCAGTCATGTGCTCTCTGATGAACCAACTATGTGCATCACTGTTTTAAAACCACCTCACTCATGTGTTTTAGATGTCTGGACTGCAATATCTGGTTATTCATCAGCCAGATTTGTCCCTCTAAAGTGATCTTCTGAGGGTTAAATGTCACACCCGGTGAAGGTAAACCAGCGCCAGAGAAAGGTCCCACGAGGGGATCCTCCCTCAATGAGCTGCTCAGTTGAGTCCCACAGGAGGAGACGGGCCGCGTTGGGTGAGAAGTGTATAAATATTTTCGATTCATTATGAAACTGTGGCTGGCAGCATTTGACTATGTTAATGGGGTCTAAATCATCACTGAAAGTCGTGCCAATGAAGTCTTTGATTGCCAAAAACAATTAATGAAAAATAAAAAACATTTTGTGCAATGAATCATCTACTTGACAGCGTTAATGATTCTGCTCTATGTAGGCATGTATGACAAAGTGAGATGGTTTGGGAGGCGCTGCTTTAGAGTGACAGACTTTTCTTCACTCTATTCCACTCTTTTCAGATAATAAGTACAATATTTGATCTATTATTGCTAGCTTTACTGGTACAGTCAAATGACAACAACATGTCCACAAAGAAGAACCCAAAACTAGTAAAACACACTTTAAAAGTTAACTTTTTTTTGTTTTGTTTTCTGAAGGATCATTCTGTTTGGTGAGAAGAGAGACAGATAAATCAAGTAGCCGAGCTGAGCTGTTTGCTTTTCTTATTCAATTGCTGAGTAAATGTGAACAGTCTTCGATACTTGGAGTCAAAGCTTGGTGCTCCAAGCTAAACAGTAAGCTGCCTGTTGCCTCATTTGGTAAATAATACCCAGCTGCCCCTGGTAAATGGTGGTGGTGATAATGGTCACAAGGGAGATAAGGCTCACCCTCTCCTGCCTCGGAACTCATCCGGGCGCCTTTGTGGTTGGTAGTCATCTCGGCCGTGGCGCCGTCCGATGTCGTCGAGGTTGTCCATGGAGCGAGCGCGTACACGATCCCCCATGTACCCTCCACCGTGACGCGGGTTGTCGTCGCGGCGGTGGCCTTGCTGGGACACACTGCTGATGGTGCTCATGGCTTCGTCCCTGTCGTAGACGGTGGCCAGAGGTGGCGGCTGGGAACGACCCCCGCGGCCTCGAGCCTCCACACTGTCATGCAGGGAACTGACTTCGGTCATATTATCCACTGAGAGGGGGAGGGGGGAACAGAGAAGAGAAGGTCAGTAAACCAGAGGAAATAAAATGGTGTGTGGGTGCAGGATAAGCAAACTAAATCCCCATTTTGACAGGATTAACGTTACTGAAAAGTGAGGAAGGAAATATTCACTGTGCTCCTCGGTAATTTAACTCATCTTTTCCAGTTTTACATCAGGAAAGTACAGGATATGGTCTGAAATAGACATTAAACACTAAACAGGACAAAGCCTCCGCTGGGGGGCGCAGGAGAGTTAAAGGGGAGGCAAAGATATAGTAGGAGGTGTGATGAAGTCAGAAAATGTACTCTCCCTTAGGAGTCCTAACCGAATAAAATCTTAACACACAGACATGAAACACATGTTAATATTATTCAATGTGACAGACGGATATCGTTATATCCGATCCATCACAAATAAATGTCCAAAATCTGCTCATACAGAAAATAAGCATCAGAACTGAGCCCAAGAATGTTTTAGTTCCCTTCTTTATTTAGAGGAATCTGTGTAGGCTGAGAGTAGAGCTGGGCAATAATTCAATGTTTCTGTTTATTTCACTTTAGTCATATTAGATTAGTAGATGTTATAAGAAATATGCATCATATTCATTACTCTTCTTTTAAGTCAGCTCCCTTCATATAATAAATCGAGTCGCGCTCTGAAAGGAATGAGCTATTTGGAGGAAATGTAAACTGCACACAGGCAGTGGTTAAGTGGCTGCCTCTTAACTCTCGACAGCTTTTACCAGAAGTTGATTTATTTTCTCCCACAGTGGTCTGGGGAACAGTAACGGGGAACAGAAGTGCAGGAAGTGATCAGTCACTCACGGCGGTTGTAGTTGCCGGGTCTGGAAGGGTCCATGTTGGCCAGCTCCCGCTCCATGTAGTAAATGGCTCGCGTGGCGTTCCCATCGGGATCCACCTGGATACGATACCCACTGCGAGCTGGTGAGAAGAAGAGAGGACATCAGATTTCAGCTTTGGCAGCTTCAAGCAAATACACCGAATCAATTGGCCCTCGATCCGAGTCCTTCACCATAGAAAATCTACCGATTGTCCACTCCGACACTTATATTTACCTAAATGTTGATTTAATGTGTCTGAGAGACTGAAATAAAAGGTGTAACCTACTAAATCTGACACACCTTGTTTTTCACAAGCTACATCAACCAAATACTGAAGATCCTGGTTAAAAACTACCTAAAAACTACTAGCAGAAATTACTGATATCATATTAAGTAAAGTTTAACTGGAGAATGTGACTCCTGAAACTGATGTGATACGATCCTCAAGAGAAAAGACGTATAATATATCAGATCTTATGTGAGAAAGCATGAGTAACAACTTTAATTTTTGCCCGTTTCAACCAACTCCAGGTCTCCCTCAGAGAAACACACATAGGAAGGAAATATATATAGTACATATATAGCTAAATGGCTAGAGGCATCATAATCTTCTAATTACACTCATATGTGCCAGGATATTGTTATCACAGGAACACTTTAATATGAACAGAGAAACAAGTAAAATTCCTGCATAAACTTTCAATGAATGTGTCACAATAACACTCATTTCTTGTAATAAGGTTGGTGCCACATGTCAACGAGACACCAGGGGGCTACAGAGGTCAGTAAAAGGCATTAATAACTTCACATTTTCATAACTATCAGAAAACTGCATTATTGAAATGTGTTCAATACGTTCATTTTGGAGAGATTGTTTGTCATGCCGTGTGCATGTATAGATCCTAAGGGGAAACCCACAAGTACACCTAGGCCAGTATATTTAAACATAATCACAATGCAGAAATTACTTTCTTTTCTGTAAACACAAAGCAGAGTTTTCCAACGATTGGGTGCAACTCACTTCAACAATACTACCAGTGAGAAAGAAGCGTGAACACATTTCTCAGTGGGCAGGTTGGCTTTTTTTTCCTTCTCATTTTACTCACTGTGGTCCACTCCCCCATCTTGATCATGCAGCAGAGGCACCTGGGAGCCCTGTCCAACTGCGCACACACACACACACACACACACACACACACACACACACACAC